ATAGAATAGAATAGAATAGAATAGAATAGAATAGAATAGAATACTTTGTTTGGCCAAGTGTGTTTGGTCATACAAAGAATTTGTCTCTGGTGCAGAAGCTCTCACTGTACATGCAAGTAACTAAGCAATAAAATCTTAAGATACTAATATGAGAAGGCACTGTAAAATATGAGAAGGATAATATAATACAGTCACACTACAGTACATGGGTAAATATACTTAGACATAAGACAGCGCTGTGAAAATTAGGTGTTCAGCAGAGTGGTAGCATGGGGGGAGAAAACTATCCTTGTGTCTGGTTGTTTTGGCGTGCAATGCTTTATAGTGGCATCCCGAGGGGAGAAGTTGAAACAGTTTATGTCCAGGATGTGAGGGACCTATAGATATTTTCTCAAGCCCTCTTTCTGACCTGACAAAAAGGCAGATTTATCTCTGTGTGGACTGAAACCCTGGGAGAAATGGTCTCTCCCACCACCAGCACTGGAGCCCTTCTGTTTTCTAGCAACTTAATCACAGAGTGAAGTAAAACCATTTCACTGATTGAGCAGGACTGCAAATTGGATTCTTGCTGGTCTTCAAGGAGCATTTACCGTTTTTTTTTTTTCAAAAATCCCAGCAACCGGTTTGCTGCCCGGTTGCTGGGTAGGTGTGGCCATGGTGGGTGTGGCCTACTGTAACTTCCGAGAGGGCCATTTTTCACCATGCCCAGAGTCCGGAGGCTTCCCTCAGGCTTCTGGGAGGGTGAAAATGTCCTCCGTCGGCTCTGGAGGCCCTCCGGAAGCCGGAAATGGACCCATTTCTGGACTTCTGGAAGGCCCATTTTTCACCCTCCCAGAGCCTCCGTGCAGACCCTGCACTTACCTGCGTCCAAACTGTGCTGCGGGGAGACTCCTGGGAGGGGAGGGGAGGGCAGGGCCAGATGATAGGTTCAACTACCGGTTCGGCAAAGCAGATGTAAATTTACCGGTTCGCTTGAACCGGCCTAAACCAGCTGAATCCCACCCCTGCATTTACCTCATAGTACGTTATTTTTCCTTGACAGGCAAACAGGGATAGGGGATAAGGGGATGCTTTTCTAGTGACTGTTCTTCTTCCCAGAACTCCTTGAAGGATCTGTACATCTTCGCACGGTCGATGTGATTCCTTGACAACAAGGGAAATCCCAGTGAAGATGAGGAACGTCCAGAGAAGGGCATTCAAGCAGAAGGCTGTCAGAACTTGTTTCCCTGACAGCACAGGAAAGGCCAGGTAGATGCTGAAGGCCATCATGGGGCTGGTTGAGGCATCCATCCAGTTGTGGAGAAGAGACGCTTTCCAAACACCACAGGTCAGACTTGTGGAAAGATAAAACAGGTTCAAGATTAGGCAGAAAACCCATAAAGACCTCAACAACCAGGCACTGAACCTTTGATCAGTCATGCATTGACTGATTTGCAAAATTGTAGTCATCTTCAAAACAAAGCAGGCACTCACATTTCACTTCAGAGAAGGTGATTAGATTCTTTAGATAAGTAACCTGCTTTCTTCAGTGGTTGACAGTCTCTGTCTCTCTCTGTGTCTCTGTGTCTCTCTCTCTCTGTCTCTCTCTCTCTCTCTCTCTTTCTCCTTCCCCATTTCCACCCTCCATCTCTCTTTCTCAAGGCACTTCCATCAGATGAAATCTTATACTCGTTCTCCTAAGGGGAAGGGGAGAGATTTAACTGCCAGCTACACAGCAAGTCCATGCCTATGATTCAGTGACCTCAATGTAACAGAATAATAGAGTTGGAAGGGACCCTGGAGGTCTTCTAGTCCAACCAAGGATCCAAGTACGTTGGATGTTTCCAATAATTAAAAAAAAGACTAGAGCTGAGCTTGATTTCTCTCTCTTTATTTTATAAATAAATAAAGTTTTTTAATATATATCTTTACTTTCTTCCTCTGTTGCTGATTCTCAGTTGGCAAAACACCAGTAAAATCCTGAATCTTGTTCAGATGGCTCACCTGTTCCTTTGTTTTTCGGTGCAACCTAGGACACACGTCCTTGTGTTCTCGTTGCTGGGTTACTCGAAGAGACATCTGCTTGGCTGCTTCTCGGGTTACAAGGCTCTACAAAGCCAACTTATTTCTGGGAGGAAACAGGTTACTTGTTATGAGGTGAGATTACAACATGTTTTGGGGCTGGGTAACGTTTCGGCTCCAAGTCGTTGTGAATGACAATTTTTGGGAGGGGCCATTCTGCTCCTCATATTTCTTGGAAGCAGTAGAGAGACCTGTTGATGAAAGCCAGATCTTCATGTAGATTTTTTTATTTATTTACTTATTTTGTCAAGCATGCATTTGATAACATATATAAGTATAAATATGATTATTAATACATGAAATAGATACGAATAAAAAGGGAAACATTCGGACAGAGATGGTAGGCACATTGGTGCGCTTATGCACGCCCCTTACAGACCTCTTAGGAATGGGGTGAGGTCAACAGTAAACCGTCTGAGGTTAAAGTGTTTGGGGTTTTGGGAAGAAACCACAGAGTCAGGTAGTGCATTCCAGGCATTGACCATTCTGTGGCTGAAGTCGTATTTCCTGCAATTGGGTTTAGTGCAGTTGACCTTGAGTTGTATCTATTGTGTGCTCGTGTATTGTTGTGGTTGAAGCTGAAGTAGTCATTGACGGGTAGGACATTGTAGTGGATAATTTTATGTACTATGCTTAGATCACACTGAAGGCAGTGTAGTTCTAGGTTGTCTAAACCTAAAATTTCAAGCCTGGTAGTGTAGGGTATTCTGTTGTGAGTAGAGGAGTGGAGGACTCTTCTCGTGAAATATTTCTGGACTCTCTCAATTGTGTAAATGTCCGATGTGCAATGTGGGTTCCAGACAGTTGAGCTGTATTTGAAAATTGGTCTGGCAAATGTTTTGTATGCTCTAGTTAGTAGTACAATATTACGGGAGAAAAAGCTTCGCAGGATTGGATTAACAACTCTTAATGCCTTTTTGGTAATGTTATTACAGTGGGCTCTAGCACTTAGATCACCAGAGATGAGAACTCCAAGATCCTTGACAGCAAGATATTCCATGGTGAGGTGCCCATCACAACTTGGTCTCCTTGCCTCCAATTCAGCACTTGGCTAATGCATTTCCAAGGCCACCCGGACTTTCTAGGTAATCTCTACAATCTTTAAACATTTTATCTTCGGACATTGAATATGTCCAAAGATAAATTGCTAACTAGAGCGTTCAAAACCTTTGCTAGATCAATACTTGAATACAGCTAATCAGTCTGGAATCCGCACTGTATATCGGATATTAATACAATTGAGTGAGTCCAGAAGTATTTCACTAGAAGAGTTCTACACTCCTCTGCTCGCAACAGAATACCCTACATCACCAGGCTTGAGATTTTGGGCTTGGACAATCTTGAACTACGCCGTCTATGGTTGGACTTAAGTGTAGCACACAAAATTATCTGCTACAATGTCCTACCAGTCAATGACTACTTCAGCTTCAATCGCAACAATACAAGAGCATACAACAGATACAAACTCAATGTAAACTGCTCCAAACTTGATTGCAGAAAGTATGACTTCAGCAACAGGGTGGTCAATGCCAGGGATGCATCCCCTGACTCTGTTGTTACATCCTCTAACCCCCACTCCTTTAACCTTATTAAACTATCCACTATTGACCTCACCCCCTTTCTAAGAGGTCTGTAAGTGCACCATCGTGCCTACCACCCCTGTCCTACTGTCCCCGTTTATTCGTACCTATTTTCTGTATTCTTACTCATGTTTATACTTATACCTATTATCTTGTAAGCGATTGACAAATCAAATCAAATCAAATAAAGGTCTGAGGATAAAATCTTTTAAAAACACCCAAAATAAAGCGAAGTAAGTTTAGGTGTTTAGTAACTTTAGAGTGTTCTCTTATTTGTTGGCTTTTGAGAGCTGATTTATATAGGTGTAATCCTTGACTTACAACCACAATGGAGCCCAACATTTCTGTCAGACAATTGCTAGGTGAGTTTTGCTCCATTTTACGACCTTTGGTTGTTAAGTGAATTGCTGCATTTTCTCCTTTCTCCTGTTTAACCATATAGATCATAGGCCTGTAAGAAATAGACAATGCAGAATAAATGGAAGAATTCACAGGTAGTCCTCGACTTAAGACCGCCATGGAGCCCAACGTTTCTGTTGTTCAGTGAGGCAGTTGTGAAGTGAATTTCACCCCCCATTTTACGACCTTTCTTGCCACTGATTGTTAAGTGAATCCCTGCAGGCGTTCAGTTGAGCAACACGGTTGTTAAGTGAATCTGGCTTACCCATGGACTTTGCTTGTCCAAAGATCGCTGTCATAAATGTGAGTCCTTTGCTGAATTTTGATCATGTCTCTGTGAGGAATCCTGCAATGGTCATATGTGTGGAAAACATTCATACATCGCTTTTTGTCACAGCCTTTGTAACTTCCAACGGTCACTAAATAAACTGTTATAAGTCAAGGACGACCTGTAGGATCCAGCTGGTCCCATCGCCTAAAATATTGGCTTTTTCCCATATCAGGTAGGACTTTCACACCCCAAAGAAAATGTCTGCTATCAAGAGCTTTCATTGGTACCAAGACTGTTGATTGACAGATGTGAAAAGAAATAGAATTTCCGCTGTTTGTCCTAAATGGACTCTAGAGAGATTATCCTGGCCAAAACTCCCTGCTTGATCCAGAAGACAGGAAGTGATTTTGCAAAAGCCTTTCTGTGCATTGGATAGAGTTCCTGTTGATTGTGTTTTTATAGCTTTCCCCAAGGCATTTTCCAGCATTATAAAATAACGCTGGGGATATTTTTATATCAGAGTGGTCAAGGACTTTCTTGCTTGTGGGCTTTAAAATTGAGCAACTTTCCTTTCACCAACTTCTATAACATTGTTGTATCCTCTGAGCATTGTCTTTTTTGTTTTTCTTTTCCCCCTCCAAAACGTTCTACAAGAATGTTGTTTCTTTTTGATAGGAGCGTTCCAATTTTATTTTTAAAATTTTTTGTATCTTTCAGAGAGAGAGAGAGACAGAGACAGAGACAGAGAGAGAGACAGAGAGACAGACACAGAAAGACACACACACACACATACACAGACAGGGAGAGAGAGGGGGAATGAGAGAGACAGAGACAGAGAGAAACAGAGAGACAGAAAGGGACAGGGAGGAGAGACAGGGAGGAGAGACAGGGAGAGAGAGAGGAGAGAGACAGGGACAGAGAGACAGAGAGACAGAGAGAGACACAGAGACACAGAGAGAGAGGGAATGAGAGAGACAGAGACAGAGAGAGACAGAGAGACAGAGAGAGACAGGGAGAGAGAGAGGGAATGAGAGAGACAGAGAGAAACAG